TATCTATCTATCTATCTATCTATCTATCTATCTATCTATCTATCTATAACATTATTTTAATTTGACAAAATATTTCTCCAACATAACTGTAGCTCATCTATTTCTTTTGGTACAGTTTACATGTATTTTCCCATTTGTTAATTATTTTAGTGCCCATTCAAAAAGTCCTGGGTTTATACGCCATGTGCAGCGTTTTGAAGAAATATCCTGATTCATGCTCAATAATTCAGGTAGAAAACTCTAACAAAGTTCAGTCAGGTCCTCTGGATAGTTTTGTTTTGTTGAAAAGTTTCATTTTTCATCCAAAAGACTTCATCAGGCCCCAGCAAACTGGTTGATCCACTATGAGAAGATGTTATTTATAGGACTTAGTTTGTCGTGGCTCCTCGGACTGATGAAGTCTTTTGAATGAAAGACGAAATGTTTCAACAAGAAGAAGCCATCCAGAGGACCTGACTGATCTTTGTTAGTTTTAAATATTTTTTATTCAAAAATGTTTGCATGTTAGGCTGATTGGTAACTCTAAATTGTCTCTAGGTGTGAGTGAGAGAGTGAATGATTGTTTGTCTTGTTTGTCTTTATTTATTTATTTTTTGTATTGAACGCTTTTTGAATTTGTCTTTATGTGTCCTTGTGATGGACTGGAGACCTGTCCAGGGTGTCCCCCGCCCCTCGCACCGTGATTGCCAGACATGGGCACCGGTGAACCCAATGACCCAAAATGGAAGAAGCGGGTAAAAGATAATGGATGGATGTTTGTACAAGAAAACCCTAAATGAGCAAAGAGCTCTGTCTAAAACTAACAAAATAAAAAAATAAAGCAGAAATCTTCAAACCAGGCACACCGTTGGCTGTGTGGGAGTCAATTCCCTCCGCTAAACCTAAAGTTAGAACCAAAACCAAAAACATGACTGCTCCCAGACTCGACTAATAATGATGATAAACAGAGGTTAACAGATGGCATGGTGTCAGAGGATGGAGCAGGTAGAGCTCATTCCACTGGTACATTTTCATCTTTAAATTACTTCTTGGTCTGCTGCCTTCATACATCTCCTACATGTCTCTGCGTGAGTGCAGTTACAGCGTGCGCTCTCAGGACATTATTACCTGCAGTGTTCCCTCAGTGAGGACTGAACTTGGCAAAAGGGCCTTCTCCTACTCTGCTCCTGTTTCCTGGAATATCTTACAAAAAGACCTGAGGCTCTCGACCTTGACCTCTAAGTGGCTTTAAGAATCAGTTGGACTCATGGCAGGGACCAATGCAGACATGTTCCTGTTTTTAGTTTTCTACATTTGCCTTATAATCTAGCTGTTTTTGTTACTCTTTTTGCCAACTTATTTGTAAAAAAACAAAACAAAAAAAAACATCTGTATGCCTTTTAATGACTGTATTGTTGTTGCTGTTGTCCATTGTTGTCATCATTCTTTGTTGAAATCAGGTCTCTCTTTTAAATGAGTTCTTGAGGCTCAATGGGATTTACCTGTCTAAATAAAGGTTGAATGAATGAAAATTCCTTTCAGAAAGACAGGACATGTTTAAAAAGACTGGTTTTAATGTCTGTTGATCTTTGCATGGGCCCTTGATGTGCATTTTGCATCTAAATAAAATCACAGTTAGAAGCAAACACTTCTATTCCTGTTTCTACTAAACTGTTGTAAATAATGAAGTATTCAGTGTGAATATGTGTAGGTGTGTGGTTTGCGTGTCAGACTGCAGAAGTATTTTATAAATGTCTTGTTCACTTCTGCCCAGAAACTCGAGGTCTGAAGGATCCAGAACAAGTGGAGAACCTCCAAGATCAGTCTCAGGTCATGCTGGGTCAACACATCCGCTCACACTACCCGAGCCAGCCAGCCAGGTGACACGCTGCCTCTGAAACTGAACACATACTAACATTACAGCAAAAACTAAACTAGACAAAAGAAAGAAGGAATTAAAAAATAGCAAATACTCTGACAGCAACACAAGATATTTCATTCATATCCATCTTATTATACTTGGGTGCTTTATTTAAAATTTGCAAATAAAAAATAAATTACAAAGTGTCAGTTTGAATTTATTACATATATCCATCCATTATCTTTACCCGCTTATTCCATTTTTGGGTCACGGGGGTCCCCGGTGCCCATGTCCAGCAATCACTGTGCTTGTACCCTGGACGGGTCGCAAGTCCATCACAGGGACACATAGAGACAAACGAGACAAACAACCATTCACTCTCTCACTCACACCTAGGGACAATTTAAAAGTTACCAATCAGACTAACATGCATGTTTTTGATCTGTGGGAGGAAACCGGAGCGCCCGGAGAAAACCCACGCATGCACGTGAGAACATGCAAACACCCCCCAGAAAGGCCCCCGGACCAGGATTTGAACCAGGGACCTGCTCGCTGAGAGGCAGCAGCTCTACCAGTTGCGCAACCGTGCTGTCCTTTTATATATATATAAATATATATAAATATATATATATATAAATATATATAAATATATATATATATATATATATATATATATATATATATATATATATA